TTTGAGGGCTTTAAAATTTGCATGAGCCTGATCACTCCGATGCGGTCAATGAGACGGCTTGAAATTATTCTGAGATATCCTGAAATGACATTGGAACCGATCTAATTGCAAAAGGCATAGAAAGTCACTCGAAAGACCAATCCTTCACAATAAATCCAAATCGAAGGCTTTCCGGAGTAAATGCTCGGGTATCTGTATTGGACGTTTACGCAATGCTACGTTTCCTTTGTTCGAAATTTGGGTTCAGGAACATACGCCAATTATGACTTGAATGACATGGTCATCGATCGATCACCGCCTGGCAATTATTTGAGTGTATTAGTGCCTGTGCTAGCAATCGTGTTCTATCAGGAATGATAGTGGTTCTGTCACTCTTATTAGTCATATGGGAAACCGTATAAGTTGATAAAAGTATTTCAGATGAATGTGCGAAAACGTAACGACAAGGCATCGACAAACACAATATGATGATAATTTTTTGCATTTGATTGGTATCCCAGTTCCATACAAAAGGGTTTTGTACAATCAGGCTACTTTGTGACCCCAAAATAGTTCGCGATATACACACAATTCGAAGGGAAAATCAAAATGTATTCAAATGCCATGAAAATGTTTGTGATAACCAACAAAGTGCACTGGACAGCTGTTTCGTCCTGTTTGATACTCAAAATGTATTTCCTGTATGCACATGCACCTCCGAGTGCCTCATCCGGTTCAAGATAGCACCTTCTTCGAAATTGGTCCTATTCCTTGAATACATTACGGTTCTTTACCAGCGTATCCAACCAGTTTCACTTTACGAGAGTGGGAGACTACCTGGGAGAATGAATGTGACTGATAGCTGTATGGTATCATAAAGTTATTAGTAGGGAGCAGGATATCCTCGAAGGATATCCTCATTAGTTAGCTAAAAGGGTGCTCGGCTTTAGCAACTAATGCATATGAGTATTTAAAGATATAGACGAAATATGAACTATGTCAATAGCCTTGTCAGCCTTTCTTTGGGATGAACATAGCTATTACCAAATTCTTGAAAAAATCGTAAAAATAAAACCGAATAACACAAACTCTTGATTATTTGTCAAAAGTACCAGTCAGATATTTTATTGTACTGTATATCTTAGTACAGACTGACTAATCTTCATCAACGATCCACCAATAACTACTCCACTTTTCGAGTTTTAATTTGATACTCGGGTTCAGGGCAATCCCTACATGGAAAATTCTTGCAGTGTGAACTCGGGTTATCTGAGCAACAACTCGAAAGACCCACGCCTCAAAATCCACGAACTTCAAAGAGTTCCAAAGTCTTTGATCAAACAGGGATTGCATTGTGAGAGTTAGTCTGATCGGGAGATCTGTTTATGCGTTGCCTGCAATAAGCCACATCTCTAATCACCAATTATCTTTCCTTAAATATTGGCCAGTGATCCCAGGAATCGAATACCAAGTTGAATGAACAATCTGAGAATGGAATTGAATAACATGATAACATAATATGAGGATACCCGTGTGCATAGATATAAAGAATATTGATCGTTCCAGTGAAGGGTAACATTCACTGACCCGACTGATTGTCGAACCCCGGAATTCCGAGGTAGAATGCAAGCTGTTATGTGCTTCCTAGATTTTCAGTTCATCCTTTATTCGCCTTGTACACTAGGAAATTTATCACATGATGAATCAAAGTGCTCCATTTCCCTAGAGTAAAAAATGTGATAGCTTTTAATTTTGTTATATGAAGATAAAATCCAAGGCTAGTCTGATCAATATGAACTGCACAGTTGTGACAGAAAGGAATGCATTATATTTGGAGTCCAGCTTTGCACCATTGTTACCAGAGTCTGGTTTCGAGAACACAGAATCAAAGACTGAATGCACTTCACATTGCACATACACCCCGTGACTTTAAGCTTCCCACCATTTTTTTCAATTACCCTTCCGATGTCAACCTTAGAACCTTGTACATGGCGTTGAAATGCCACCGAGTGTCTTCCATGTTGCACCCACTTGACCTACGAGAGTATTATTTGAAAGCTTTGCGTGATGCTAAATTTCACACGATCAGGTTATATTGTGATGTGTTTATAGAGGGAAGGCGTGCGTAAGATCAAGGCGGTCATATGCAGCGGAATGAACATAAGCGATGCACCCATAGTCTGTTGTCTCATTGACCGAATCTCGCAATAGGACAAGATTTATCACCGTAATAGACTTTCACCTGACCGGTGAGACCATTTTACATTAAGCTTTCCTGTTTCTTTTTAACTCTGGTTTCCTTGACTAGGAAATCGACACCAACACGATGACAGCTAGCAGCACGAATTTGAGAACAGAGGCTCACTCTAGTGAACACAACTAGGTGCGAAAAGTGGGTCGGTCGGCAATCGAATTGTGTGAATCGCGATTGGGGTTAGTTCACATACCTGTTAGTGCGCATATTCTTTGACTTCTATTGCCTGACCGCATTCTTTTCCATTTTTCGCTATTTGTCTGTTACAAAAACGTGTGTAGTATACTTATGTTTAATCGATCGATTGGGGCATCTGGGGCATTGCTTTCCAAATATAGTATGTGTCTTCTAACAAAGGCCTATCACCGCACCAAACTGAAACTGCTTCATTGTACGTGTGGATGTAGAATGCATTGCAAGGTCAGTTAGCCTATAGCAGTGTACCTGAAATGCCTGCAAACACGTGCTAACGTTTTCAGTGCACACTCGTGGATCCGTATTGTTGTTTCCCAGTTTGAGTAGATAGAAAAGTACACATTGAATGAAGAATTACGTTTTGTTGTAGAGAACACATGTAGCGGGTCCATAGGCTGGCGAGCAAACGGAAATGGGTAACACGTACAAGGACCGGGAAGCAGACCGACAACTGGTTTAAGCCTCACAAGTCATGCGCATGCGGTCAAGCAGGCATTCAGACAGTCAACGTGGACAGTTTATTCCTAACACTTAATTGGCTGGAGCTGATCGATATTGTAATAGAGTCAGTCCACATGATGTGAGTGCGTGTGTGTGCGGTAGCTGGAAGTGTTTGTCAATCAATCAGTCCGGCCACAGGCATGCAGGACAAAATTATCAGTGAATTGTAGGGCACAACATCACCTAACCTTCCACAAATAAACCGGAGAGGTGTCACAAAAATGAAACAAAATGAAAAAGTGCAATTATGGATTCTAGCCTGATCACAACCATGTCTTACCGTTCCAAGCTCAACTCCGGTGCACATTCACGGGGAAGTGAAATCTTCCTGTTTTTCTTTGTCCCATACCCCATAGTACTCCATTTTGTAGTCCGTTTTGCATTGATAAGAGGAAGGGTTCGAGGGTTGGTGATTAATAAACGACAAACACACTGTCGTCTTGTATCAATCACCGAGTCGACTGTCAAGTTACTGGCACGTAGTGTGAAAAAGCTGTTGCGGTTTCTCGCCTCTATTTCCCTTTCTGTGATTTTAAAATCCTACCATATTGGTTGACTTGGACTAGTTCAGCTTGTTCAAGTAACGAAATCAACACATTTAGTTCCGTGCGGATTGTTATGCCAAGTATCAAATCAGAGGACATAAGTTGAAGGGGTTCTTGAGGAAACTTTTGATAAGTTTTCACCTGCACAGAGAAATACAAAACGCGAGTTTCGCTGTAATTTCATTAAATTTAGCGCGTATTATCAGCATTTTTGGAGGCAGCGCCGATACGCAAGGAGCGCAATAGATTTGGATATTACGCAGGCTACAGATGCATTTTCAGCTTTTCTCCCAGTATCCGTTCCATGCACTTATCACATCCTTTGTGGATTTGTCTTACAAATTTAGTGCATCAAAAAATAGTCAGTCTTCACTACCAAGATGTAAACACAGCAATTTAACTCAGAACACATTTATAAGCTTTAGTGTGGAATTGAATGCAGGAAGAGATGTAGTGTAATCGGCGAATGTAGTTTTCCACGAATTCCACCATTCATGTGATGTTAATGCTCTAGGGTCATTCCAAAATTGGGGAACTGTTCACCGTAAACCGAGCATTTTGCAAGTTAATGTAGTATACAGCTTTGAGCACCCAACAACAACATGTTGTGCCCCTAATTCGGGGGTTACAATACTTCTGTCGCTGCGATAGTTGTGTTCATTTAGGTATATTTTCTTTGAAATAACAAACAGTTTGGTTGAACTTCATTCTGTCATTCATTTCACTCCGTCACCTTCAAGATTGTTAAAAATCCTGATGATCGTGCATGCAGAAGATAAAATCTAAAAATCTAGGTTTAGAGGAACTTTTGTTGGAAATGATACGAAACGACTGTAGCTCGAGATGCGGATGTTGGTGTGGGTGAGTTCTCCGAGCTGTAATATGTTGTTGGCAGACGTTTCGTGGCAAGCTAGGCAACATCATCAGTGTGATGTCACGGAAGTGGCAAATAAAATTGCAAGTAAAGATATATGATTTTGCTAATCAACAGATTGTTTTCGATCTGTGGAATAACCCTGTATGTTGGATATTTATCCATATGAACCGCACAAACTTTCTTTGCTATTTCAGTTGTACTTTTAATAAGCTTACGCTTCCAGTTGGACCTCAAAAGATTCACGTGTACCCTGCGAGGTTTATGCAGTTCATGAACTACTATTGCTCTGCATCAAACGAAATCTGCACAGAGAGAGGTTTAGAACCACTAGGGACCTGTGGGAGTGAACGGCTTGATTATCTTAAAAGCTGGAATATTCGCTATTAGTCGACCTCCCCATGTGGGTGTCTGAGTACAGAGACTGGTTGAGGGGGGGGGGTTGAGCGGTTGGTGGGCGAGTTCTGACACCAGTTACATTAATTTGCTGATTTCAGGGACTGAATGAGGTAACCCTACCATCATTCTGGTTCTCCTACGGTAGTTAAGTTTATCAAGCATCTAAATTTGTTTTAGTGACGCAGTTTCGTGTTACATTACTGACTTAGATACAATCAACTGAAAATGAATCCAGGCGAAGACGAATGTCCCTCTTATTCATCCCCGAAGGCCATGGATATTTGCATTGTGAAACGCGTGGCAAAGGAAAAACCGTTTAGAAATTTATTGGTCTTTCAGCATTAGTTTCGAGTTCACTCAGGATAATGCCAGGAAATTATTCATCGTGCCTCAGACTTAAACTTTATATCACTTGAGAACGAATAATTTCTGGGATGTACTTAAGTGCGGCTCCCCACGCATATTAAAGAAAATTGGATCAGCACATTACAATGGGCATATCCGATGCAAGTCCTACTGGAGCCAGCAGTAGTTAAAAGACAGTCAAATCGAATTTGTTATTTCAATCATGGTTGTACGGATCAGCTTCACCACCGAAGTAAAATCGCTGAGGGAATTCAGTAAACGATATGCCTCGAAATTCAACTCTCTGATCTAAAGGGAATTCGTAGTGTATATAGCAAATGAAGCGTAAACTGAAAAGCTCGGANCCTCAACCGTTTGTAGAGCAGGCGGCTTACGTCATCGCCTTTGAATTGAAAGTACAATGTTACCCGCAATTCGGGTCTGCCTCTGTACGCCAACTCTAATCTAATCTCATGTAGGTAATGGAGGATTTGGTTAAGTTTCAAATGACAATTCGTCGTGTATATGGCAACTGAATCGTGAACTGAAAAGCTCGGAGGCACTGGACAGCTTGTTTCAAAGGCTCGGAAGCACTGGACAGCTGTTTCGACCTGGTTGGGTCTCATCAGCAGTGCGAAGCCGGCTCGGAAGCAGTGGACAGCTGTTTCGACCTGGTTGGGTCTCATCAGCAGTGCGAATCCATCGACCCGACTGGAGATCGAACCCGGGACTTCATGGGCAGAACGCAAGCGTGCTACCCACTACTGCTGATGAGACCAACCAGGTCGAAACAGCTGTCCAGTGCTTCCGAGCTTTTCAGTTTACGCTTCATTTGCTATATACACGACGAATTTCCATTTGAAATTTAACCAAATCCTCCATTACTCACATGGAACTCTCTGTTCGTCGGAGAAAATAGGAGAACCATGGAATACTGCGGTATCAGATAATTCTCAATTTCTATAAGAGATGTTTAATTATGATGCCATTGCAGTGCTGTTAGTGCAGACGCAATTTATATTCATGGGTAATCAAGTTAGCAAATTGTATTTGCTTTCATAGATCATTTTTTGCGGCCAGTGATTCGTGGGAGCCAAGGGACAGATGATGACTTGAAACGCACGATCTCAAGGGCTGATGCACCATTGCAGTGTTATTCTAGCACAATCTACGTAAATGTTTGTGATTGGCCCTTTTTCATGCAACTCAGGCTCTTTCAAACCTCAAACGTATTTAATTTTAATCACGTTTAACCTGCAGCTCATTTTCCTGTGCCCTTTTTGTTCACATCTTCATCTCATATCAGAAACCAATCAACGATCCGAACATACCTATTCTCGTGGCACCAAGAGGCTTCTGTGACCCGAGCAAGAATAAGCAAGATTCATCGGAGCTGGTGGTTCTCATAAAGTCCTGTGTCCGTTGCCGGAAGGATCGTTATTGGGCACGTGAAACCTACATGCAACCTCATTTATGGGGTGATTTTCATATTCGATTCGTGTTTGTCACTGGAATACCCTCAGTCAATTACACCGGGAATATNTCCACTTCGAGGGAGTATCAGTCCATCATCGTAGTCATGGTAATGAGAAACAAGATTATGTGAACACGAAGAGGGAACTCATAACAGAGGCAAATCAGTTTGGTGATATACTGATCGGCGATTTTGAGGATAATTACTTTTCACTGACTCTGAAACAAGCGTTCACATTTCGATGGGCGTCCGTGTTTTGTGCTCACGAAACCCAGTTGTTCTTGTTTCTGGATCACGACTACACGGCCATTCCAACCAATCTGATCAGATTTGTACGCGGATTACCCGCAGAAATATTGCCGGATGTGAGTTTTGGTATTCCTGGTCAAAACCACTTGGTACTGCGCCCCGAGAAAGCTTCTGACAACCGTTGGGCCATATCGGAAGATGAGTTCCCATGGGACTACTATCCGGCGTATTTTGGAGGATATTCTTACATGAAAGGAATCAATATTGTGACAGATATGGCTATTGCCTCAGCATTTGTCCATCCACTGCGTGTTGAAGATGCTCATATGGGCATTTTGCGATATAGAGCGGGAGTTCAAACCTACGTGATTCCACAGCTAGTACATACAGTGAATTCGGCCAAAGAACTGCGGACTATAATTTGTGGAAACTCTTGGCACATACGAAATTTTTTCAACTGGACAACCGGTCGGATTATCGGACGATGACCCGGCAAAATGTTACAACTTTTATCAAGCCTTTTATTATGAAGATATTCAATATGTGGGAAGAGATACATTTTGTATTGACTCAAATTTTGCTGGATTCAACTTTCAATGACAATTGAAGCAGTTTTGACTTCAGAGCATTGTTATATTTGTGATTATTTTTCCACCACACAATTTTGTTATCAAAATCTACTTGTGCAGACGGAACGTTGATGAACAGAACTATATCCGGCATTGACACGATGATTGATTCTCAGTCAATGAAACTGGTTTAGTAGATGTAGACGCTGCAGCGTCGAAGTTCACTCTCGTGGATACTTTGGGCTTGAGGAACGAGCAAACATAATGAGCACTTACAACCAAAGGCATAATTTAGTTTATTCGGAGAATGTGAGATACTAATGAGTGACCGAGCGCTTATAATTTTGACTTGCCCGAAATTGTTTACAAACATGAGAAGATCGATTAGACAGGAAAAAGGAAATGCATTGGCATGCGCATAATGACACTTGCAGTGAAGTTAGCAAGGGGAGACAGAAGCGTATCTACATAATTATATGATTATTTCATCATGTGAATGAAGCTTGAGCTGAAAAGCTAAGAAGCACTGGACAGCCATTTCGACCTAGTTGGGTTTCATCAGTATTTAACTCAGTCAATGTAAAGGAATGGGTAAAGGTCTGATAGAATTTTTTGTGAAGGCGATTGTTAAGAAAGAGCACGGATGAGTTGTGCATCTATCTTGATAAAATTTATGCAAACATCAAGCGGTTAATGAGCAGGACCTAATGTAAATTCTACTTTAAGAACCCACAAAGCAGAATTTTAACGGTTGAGCAAGCATGACAAGTTTATTTGACTCGGATAAGTACCATTACTGTCTGTGGTTGCCCCAATAGAACTAAAAAGAAAAAACATATTAACCTGCCTGCAAGTGGCTACGGCTTAATAGAAGGATTCAGTGTGATCAGAACTGAGCTCATTTGCCGAGTAAAACCGATGGTTAGTACATTTTATATCTTTCATAACTTTTTGGTGATTATCTGACCATTGGCATGTATGCTTGCGTTGTCAACTCGAACATGCTCCTTGAAAAACGAGATGTATGCAGCAAAAGAAACACATAGGAAGAGGTATGAAGGATAAATGAACAACAGATAGAGATAAGGAAAAGCGAAAAATATTGTCCTCAGTGCAATGTCGCAAGCGTCGGCGAATTCCGGGAATCGCCTAAACACTATTCCACCGGCAATCAAAGAAGAAAGGAATATGACGGGGTTGGGAGATCTAAGCATTGGGTCAGATCTGATAAGTAAGCACAGTATTTGATAAATTTTGATAAATTTAACAAAATAAATGTTGATTTGATAAATTTGATAATGAAAAATAAAAAATAAATTAAATCAATAAATTATTTAAATAAATTAAATTAAATTAAGCTAAGTAAATAAAATTACTTAAATTAACTTGAATGAAAATGAAAATACGTAAAAAAATAAAATTTTGATGAAATTTGATTTGATAAATTTTTCTGGTTTGATAAATTATCACAAGGAACTAGAAAGTCATCAAGCGACTCTTGCACAGTATAATTTCAATTGGAGAAGGAAACGAAGTAATTCAATTCGTATTCTATTTGGAAACTCCTTTGTTTAACTGATCGGAAGCTTTTCATCCACGTGGCTTCTACTGAAGATATCTGTCGGGGAACTCATCTTTCTCCTTTGAATCATGCTCACGGACGGATATCAAATCTGTGAAGCCACATGCTTTCGGTGGTTCAATAAAGCTAAATACAAGCAAATGGAAAAAGCAAATAGCAATGTACGGCTTTATACCGTTGCATTTTTATTTGTACAAATTGAGTTTATGTGCTTACATTTCACTTTAAAAGTACACGAACGAACAGCTTCATATGTAACGTGAAGAATACCGGTGAATTTGACGTACATGGATTCTGAATTAATTCATTAACGACCTAATCTTTGTTAGTTGTAGTCGGGTCAGATGCGGTCGAAAGGAATTCATGCAAATTTAGATAGTGGAGGTAAGATGACGAAAAAGAGAGCGTGTGGACGGATGGGAACTAAGAGAGGATAAATGAGGCTATAATGGATCAATATGGCCATCTAGAAGACCACGGGACAAATCAATGCAATATTTAATGCAACCAATACCATGTTCTGTAAATACGAATCATCTGACCCCATGGATATACCGATGATTATCACCAAACCACAAAGAATGGATTTTAAGTTAGGTTTTAAAAGGCGGGGGAGCAATAGAGTAGAATTGGGAAAACGTATTTCTTGAAGAAAAAAATAAACTGAAATGGCGACTCGGAATTGAGCCTTGCGTGCAGTGGGAAAACAATCTTGTGAACTTTGAATTGTTTATTCTGTATCGATATATATCCAGTAGACTACAAAAACAAACGTGTCTCGGGAGGTGAGTACACAAATATTTAATACTGTGTGTGACAGAGAGAAAGCGAGAATGCTATTGTTGACCACGTGTGTACTCCATCTGCTTGTTACAATAAACTCCGGCTTATGTGTGCATATAAAGGAGTACACAGTTATCGATCGAACGGGTTGAATGAACTTTGTTTGTTGTACATATTTGCATGAGCACCTGAGCTCAGCCCAGTGCGTATCCGCCCGCACTTGTGTCAATGAGGCTGGCGAAGAGAGAAACGAACGCGTTTGTCCATGATAAAATGTCATTTTTCAGGTACTTGGTAACATATAAGTGAGTCACTCGTATTGTAGGCACCGAAAACATGGAAAAATACGCTTTACTCCATGTTTTGTGTGCTCACACTACGGGTGATTCACTTAATTACTTTCAAGTTCCTGAAAACTGACACTCATGTGGTGAAGCATAACCGCTTAGAGCATAGTAATATGTCGTGTGCTTATGCGCAACTGTGTAAGTCGTCACACCTTCGCTTTCGACACAATCGACCCAAATTATCATAGAGAAAAACAAGGAAAATTTTGAAATAAAATCTGACCGTGATTTATTTGAAGGTCGTCTGGATTCAGCACTTTCGAGTAAGTAATTGATACATATTGAATCATATGTACACATACCTGATTTTACTGACATCTTGGCAGTCTAAGCATATTTCTCCATGCACTGCATCTGCCATTGTCTCTCAGACAATGTGCCGGATCGATCCCCAGCTGGCGCATACTTTGCTTCACACAATACTTTATCACGCTCCGGACACCTTTCATTGGGAATAACGGGGAAGGCGCAACGATCACCAGCATATACATGCTAATCTAATACGGCCTCCAAGCCGAAACGACGGAGTACGTTGTCACACACAACCACCATGTTCCTGCGGATAAAGTCTGTTGAGTCATTTAGCAGGCTCGACAGCAACGATTGAGATATTTATTTTGTAAATGAGCTGCCCTTTAGCAAATAATTTACCAGGCCGCAATTTGAGATGGCACTAGTGATATGCAGATTTATGACCCTGCTACTAGGAAACATGCAACGTACTTTTTGTCCCCCATAGCACGTCCACGACTCCGATTACAAAACAGGTTGAAATTCGCTGGAAGGCAATGCAATCGCTGGGTGCACAACCTTACGCTCATCAATCCATAAAATATGCTAATTTATTGCAATTCATTGAGGTATGGTTTGAAAGATCTGTTTCCGTTTCGATCTTTTCGCCAACGGGGTGTAATTTCGTCGTGGTAACGAAGCCTGTTGGCTAGATAGTTGTCAGTCCTGTTGTATGCGGTCTTCAACTTCCATTGCAGTGTTTCTAAGGATACTGTGCAATCCTCGGCCATGGTGATGTTCGTGAAACTGAATGGAGAATTTGGAGTTACCCCATAGGTTATACACACCTTCCGGTATTCGCACAGCTTTATTTCAGAAGATCTTTTTTTCATCTTCAGTTTTACATCTTTATATTGAATATAAAAAATGCAATTTCCAGAAGGGGGAAAGTGGCCAATAACGAGGAACGTCGATCTGTGTTGGTGGGATACAAACACGCTCTCCAGGGTGATAATTTCGTGAGGTTAAAACCGGGTCAGCAACGTTCGAAGCCAGATCGCATTAGCCAGGTGTGAATGTCATAAAGTAACCTGAATTCACCCGATTTACTTTGTCTGATGAAAGTACCTTAATGGCAATAGTTAAATTCAGCGAAAGACGTTATCACATTCCCAGTCCAAACTAAGGAAAGGACATTTTCGAAAACATTCCAGTTGTTGCACCTAAGAGTTCACACGAAGTTCCATAACTATCATAAAATTTGTGGTATCTTTCGACAGCCCTGTTTACGATATTTCAATTGCAATTGGTTTGATAGAGATATCCTATTCCTTCTGGATATATAGTCAAACTGATCATTTTACTTGCACGTCAGCTGAAGTGCAGGATTTCTGTGGATGCTTCTGTGACGATAGCACAGGTGAACTATAGTCTGCGAGCCTCGCACAAACTGGATGTGAATTTGATCAACAATGATGTCTATATCGATCGAGTGTGATTGATTAGTGTTCCAGTGCACCCATTTGAGGGATAGCTTTTGAATATTTTCCCAGCATCATGCGACGAACGTAAGCAGTGTCCGAAGCATTGATCGTGCATTTGCCATGGCTACCAGCGTAGCACTGTCCGATATGACTTTTTTCGTGGGGGGGGGGGAAGGGGGGATGAGGACGATCACACACACACACACACACACACACACACACACACACACATGGGCTTGCTAGCAGGGTAAACAATGAAGATATGTCATGCGGATTGTGTGTGTGTGTGTGTGTGTGTGACGGAGTCAAATCTCCCAATCGTCACTCCAGCGCGTCAACCGGAGCTTAACAAGTCTATATGCTGTTTGAGGGCTTTAAAATTTGCACGACCGCTTGAAACGATGAGCAGGCAACTTGAAATGATACTGACGCACCCTAAAATGATTTTCGGACAACTTTCGTCGCAAATGTCTGTTTTTTTTTGCATTATGT